TTAAATACAATGGTGTTTCACAATAACGTATTTCCTTTGTGTTTTGTCGTGCAGTATTGCCAAGCCTTGATGGTATCCCACTTGTTGCCTAATTCAGCTATGTTTTGTCAGCAGCTTGTGGTTTGATTGCTTTGATGTGGCATTCGCCCATACTTGCTCTGGCTGTCTGTGTGGTTTTTGACTTCCTGGGCTTCCCATCAATATTGGATTTGCTACTGTCCTAGGAGGGTTTGAATCCCTAGGTTAGCACATAGTTCTTGATTGCTTGATCTCCATTCAGTGCAGGGGGAGGGGAGAGAAGCTCCATCAAAATGAGTCTGTACTAGGATGCTGACTTGTTGCAATATCCCCCATTTCCCCAACCCACCCATATGCTAGTAGACTCTGCACATTGACTACTGAGGACAGCAACCCCAATTAATGTGAGATCAACATGTGAGTGAAATAAAAGTTTGCTTTCGTTTCTTCCTTAGAAATCTGTCAAAGCCAGTGCCGGATGACAGCATGATTGATGACAAACAAAATGAGCAATGGATGGAGGGTGGAGGGCCCGAAGCCAAGAAACCAAAGGTGAGTCTGCACGGCCGGGCAATACACCATATATTGAACCTATAAGGACTCAATAGCCAATAACAACACAGTTGTGTTGGTTTCACTGTTTGATTGCTGCGTCATGTTGATAGTGGAGGATTTGGAGTCTTGATGCCAGAATTGTACAGTTGTTCCATTCGTAATAGGGATGCCTTGCCTTCCAGATTCAGACTATAACACACACAGCCTTGCAGTGCGAATTTAAAAGATTAATCATGTCGGTGACAGTGATATTGCCCCGATTGTTACGAAGATGCGTTATCTGAAATATTAATTTACAATATCATTAGATGCACTTGTGTGTGTGCATGTGTGTGTGTTTGAACTTTTTAGAAAAGAAATTTTCCACATCAAAGGACACTGGCAACAGCACCAAAAATGCTGCTTTTGCAAACAACACTAGTTGTTCAACAGCACACAGTGCAAAACACCTTCCGAGAAAGGTGACATGATCCAGTTTGTGGGTGTAAAGAAAGTAGTTTTGAACATAATCAGAGCTTGACACAGCGGGAAACAGCCTTTGCTTTCTCTCTCTCTATCTTTATTTCTCTAAATCCCCACTAGAAGACTACTTCACTGCATGTGGAGAGTTCTTAAAGAGATGTCTGAATCTACAGCAATATTTCATAAAATCAAAAGAGGCCATTTGGCCCATCGAGTCCACACCGACCCTCAGAAGACCCAGCATCCCAACCTATCCCCGTAACCCTCCATTTACCTTGGCTAATTCACCCAGCCTGCACTTCCCTGCGCACCATGAGACAATTTAGCATGGCCAATCCACCTAACCTGCACATCATTGGACTGTGGGAGGAAACTGGGGCATCCGGAGGAAACCCACACAGACACAGGGAGAACGTGTAAACTCCACACAGACAGTCACCTGAGGCTGGAATCGAACCCGGGTCCCTGGCGCTTTGAGGTAGCAGTGCTAACCACTGAGTTTCCTTGATGCTGTTTCTAAGAAAAGTAAATTCAACCAGCCATAACTGATCCAGTGTCAGCAGCTTATGTGAAAGTGACTTCAACTATGGAATAATATGTGATTTTTTTTTAGCACTGATTTATCTGTTAATTGGCTGAAGTACTTCTGAAATATCACTTGGCAGTTTCTATATTATTTTCTCGGGTTTTGGGAGTGGAGGGAATGTGTGTGTCTGTGCTGTTTTTCAAGCAGGTAGTCAGAATTATATGCATATTTTAAATCTTTTGTCGCTGTGTGCGTTTTTGCTTGACTTTTTTTTTGTTTCTCTCAGTAAGCTAGTTATTTATTTACGAATTAAGGAACCTGGCTGACTTGTTTCTGATCCTGAACTGTATACAGTCAATATATAGTTTGCAATATCACATTTTGTTTTTAAATCCAAACTTTGGTGGCCAGTTTTGGCGGGGGACAAGTTAAGGTATCAGTCCGCCCCTCCTAGTTTAGTCATGTCATATGATGCTGCTGATATAAAATGTGTAGCAATGTTAACACTGTCACTCACTTGGATTGCAGCCGCCATAAGCAAATTGTGTCATGAGATGCTTGCCACTCAATTCAGTACCCAGTCCACTGGCTCATCCAGTTGGTATAAAGTCTAACCAAATTAGATCTGGCTGTTGGTAAATGCAGCAGAGAAAAGTCTTTGCTCCTGGCTGAAAGTTGGGATCTGCATCGCCCTCCAGTAACCATGCAAAAGGCAGCAGTTTTCGGGACTAGTTCTTAGAGAGATGTCAGATTGACCTGTTTATCCCTCTGAAAGAAGATTGAACCTGCCACTTGTTGCCTGAAAAGGAGTAGTCAAATCTTTTACCCAGGTATTCTTCCCTTGTGCGACAGACAAAAGGCAGGATCTGACTTAGACTTTAATTAAATAAGCCTTTATTTATTTTAACTCTTTAAATATAATACTCATTATAAAACATGCATTCATGGCAACATTTACTTTTTATTTCATCTAAATTCAACTTCAACTCACTTCATTTAACTTCACTTTACCTTAACATTAACTTAATCCACATTTAACCCTAACTCAAATAAGTTTAGCTTGAATCAAGTACCACCCCAATTTGAGTGAAGTGGCCAACTTTGGTCTCCATGTGGATCTCGTCTATGGCTCTTTGTCTTCTCTGAAAATTACTTCAGGGCACATGCCTGTCAAATGTGGTCTAGGAGGCTTATTTTCAAAAAAAAAATTTGTTCTGCTAATATGTCTGAAAACGTGCACCTTGCCAGAAAGATTTCTGGCACTCAGCTAATGAATTGATCAATCCCAGCCAATGGAGTTTACTGGTAAAGAGCTCCCAAATGTTTATACCAAGCCGTAAACAGCACATTTCCATACTCCATATAAGGTAATATGGTGCCAGTCTGACCGGAGACATCATGATATTTGCCTTATTTGGTCAACACAGGAAACTGCAGGTTACTCAGAGATAGCAAGAACTGCAGATGCTGGAGTCAGAGACAACTCCGTGTGGAGCTGGAGGAACACAGCAGGCCAGGCAGCATCAGAGGAGCAGGACCGTGAACAGTCCATCAACTTTACTAACACCTTTCACCCCAACCCCAAATTCACCTGGACTATCTCTGATACCTCCTTCTCCTTCCTGGACCTTTCTGTCTCCATCTCTGGTGACCACCCCGAAACTGACATCTATTTCAAACCTACTGACTCCCACAGCTACCTGGATTATACCTCCTGTCACCCACCCTCCCGCAAGAATGCAATCCCCCAATCCCAATTCCTCCTCCCAAGATGGAGCGTTCCATCCCCGGACATACCAGATGTCCACCTATTTCAAGGACCGTAACTACCTACCCCCCCACCCCGACTCCGGTGATCAAAAATGCTCTCAACCGCATCTCTTGCATTTCCTGCACTTCTGCCATCTCATCCCCCCACCCCCGCAACAAAAATAAACACAGAATCCCCCTTGTCCTCACATATCACCCCACCAACCTCTGCATCCAATGTGTCTTTCTCCGCCACTTCCGCCACCTACAATCCGATCCCACAACCAAAGAGATATTTCCCTCCCCACCCCTATCTGCCTTTCGTAGGGACCGCTCTCTCAGTGACTCCCTCGTCCGCTCCACATTCCCCACTAACCCCACCACCCCCAGCACCTTTCTCTGCAACCATGGGACGTGCTACACCTGCCCCTACACCTCCCCTCTCGCCTCCATCCAAGGCCCAAGACAAACTTTCCATATTCGACAGGGGTTCACCTGTACATCCTCCAACCTAGTCTACTGTATCCGCTGCTCCTGATGTGGTCTCCTCTACATCGGTGAGACCATGCGTAGACTCGGGCACCATTTCGTGGAGCATCTGGACTCTGTATGCGACAAACAACAGCACCTTCCGTCTCCAACCATTTTAACCTCCCCCTCCCATTCCCTGAGTGACATGTCCATCCTGGGCCTCCTCCAGTGCCACAGTGACACCACCCGCAAACTGGAGGAGCAGCACCTCATATCATGCCTCGAGAGCCTACAGCCCGACGTTCTAAACATGGAATTCACCAGTTTCAAAATCTCCCCACCCCCGGCCTCATCCCATGTCCAACCCTCCCTCTCATCCCCACCTCATTGACCTAACACAAACTGTCCATCTTCTCTCCCACCGATCCGCCCCTCCCATCCCACTGACCAATCCCCACCACTCCCTACCTGCACTCACCTATCACCATCCCACCTACCTTCTCCAGCCCCACCCCTCCTCTCTCTATTTATTTCAGAGCTTCCTTCCCTCTCCCCATGTCTGAAGAAGGGTCCCGACCCGAAATGTCAACTTTCCTGCTCCTCTGATGCTGCCTGGCAACTGCAGGTCGCAATATGTTCTGGCTACAGTTTAACTGAGGTCAGAGTTTAAAGTAGCTTGACCAAAATTCCCAGCATGCTTGATTGTATCTCTTAAATAGTCCAATATCCATTTCTGCTGCTGGCCACTTGACCACACACTGAAGACTGCTGTTGCTTTGTTTTTCCTGTTGTACTCTGTCCTCCTCATCAGGCATGTTTCTGATTTGCCAATTTCATTAAATCTGCAGCATAGGAACCGGTCCATGTTTGCACTTATTCTCCTGAGGAGCCTTCTTCATCCAATTGTAGCCTTCTGTTCCTCACACCTTCATCCTCCTCTATTTTCCCATTCTATGTTATCAGTCCTATTTGCTTCAACTTATAAAGTATACACTTTATATATTCAGTCCTTAGCAGCACCAATGTCTCCAAGCTGCACAGTTTCAGATAATAGAGCAGCAAGCCTGTATCATGTTGGTGAATGACACACACTGTCTCTCTGGTCCTTGCAGACTGAAGATCAAGCCCTGCTCCCGGAGATTGAAGACCAGGTTGACCGTCGACCATGGACACAGCAGCATCTGGTGGCGGCAGATATCCGTTTAACGCCATCCCTGGCCTTAACCCCACCTCAAGCGGAGCAGGATGCTGAAAGCATGGACGTCAATGTTAGAGGTCCAGGTAGGGACAGTTGCCCTGTTTATTGTTACCCTCACAGGGGTAGGCTGCTAGAAATCAAGCCCCTGCTATTCCTGGAGTTATTGAAAAAGTCAGATTGTAAAATGTACACAGAATTCCTCAGTTTCCCTGTTTTTCTTTTCAACCCAGGTTGACGGAAAGCACTGATCAAGCATTTAAACTTAACAGTAATTACAATTTATTAGAAATAAATGGATTCGAGCCACAGATAAATAGTTATGGCCCATTGACATAAAACTTGCCTAGTCAAAGCACTAACCCACTTATTAAACTCCTCCTCTGCACACACAAACAGACAAACATAACAAAATATGGGTGCTGGGACTGGGAAGACAGTTCAGTAGCACTAATCTACACGGTGTGCTGAGATGATCCTTTTGCTGATCAGAGCACTGTTTCACAATCTTCCTTCTCTAGGTACTTTGATTTGTTTGCAGGAGGTGCAGAATTACTGGTTCACACTTATAAAAGTCTCACTTATCAATTAAAATTCACAGCTTACAGTAACTGATAAGAGAAATTGACTAGATATCTTCAAGCTAGAGGTGCTTTTTACAGCAGAAGAAAAACAGCTCTGTCACTTTAAAAAATCTGATGGCTTCTGAACTGAATATTGTTCATGCTCCTGGGAGCCAAGCACATAGTTGTTGACAAGCAGGAAGCCTTTGTCATTGATAACTCATCACCATGCCACACACCAATCACCAATTGTAGGGGCCTCACCTCCATACATACACAGCCCCTGTCTTCAGCTCACCTGTAACTTACCTTACCCCACTGCCTGAACCAATAGCTGAGTAAACAGCACTTACAATGAATGTCACGTAACTTGTTTTTATGAAGTGCAGTAATCCTTCAATAATTTGTGTTTTAAAATCATCCTTTGCCCACTTCAGTTCACAGTCAAACATAAGAAGGGATGGTCTTTACATTATAAAAACAGCCAGGCACTGGGCTGTTTTCATCAAAATTGGGGACCAGTTATAGAGCAAGATGAAACCATTAGTCTATTGTTCAATGCCTGCCTTTTCCAAGATAAACCCAGCTCGTGCCCCTCTCCTGCTCTTTTCACACAAAAGTTTAGAAGTTTTTAGAGTGTAAGTACAAGTCTGTAATCTTAACGGATAAGCTAATTCCTCTTTACTGCATGAACAGAGAAAAGCATTTAGCCTGCAGATTTCCCAGCAAGCACTTGGATTTAAGTTAGAGATAAATCAAAGCTGTGAGCTGTTTTAAAGGAACAGAACTTGAAAGCAGAAAAGTTATGTTAAATGTAATGTTAAACCAAACTTACTAGATGACTCCCCATGGTCTTCACGTTATAAGAGAAACTGGAGAAAGTGTAGAAAAAAAAATGGATTTGCAAGGGGTGACTCCAGAATTAGGATGGTGAAAATATCCGGAAAGAGTTAACCTGCTGGAGTGCTATCTTCAAGAAAAGAAAAGACTTTCAACCTGAATGAGGTACTTAAATTTGAAAAAGTTTGATAAGGCAGATGTGGAGATGTTTGATGTTGAGTTGAAAACTATCAGCCATAAATATTAATAATAAATACTTTCAAGAATTAAGCAGAAATGTCTTTAACCAGAGAGTGGTTAGAATTTGCAACTTGCTGTGACAAAGTGTAGTTGAGGCAAAATAACATCAGCACATTTAAGGGAAACTCTGAAACACAAGTGAGGATAGGTATTTATTGGCAATGTGGGAGAAGGCTAGTGTGAAACATGAACACGAGTACAAATCAGCCGGACTGATTGGCTTGTTTCTGTGCTGCACTGTATGTAATGGTGTTATCCTCCTTGTTTACTTTGGATGTTGTTCTTGCCCAGATGGTTTTACACCACTTATGTTGGCGTCACTACGAGGTGGCGGGCTGGACACTGGAATTGAGGAGGAGGAAGACACCGAGGACACATCAGCCAATGTCATCACTGACCTCATATACCAGGGTGCCAGCCTCCATTCCCAGACGGACCGGACCGGGGAGACGTCTCTCCACTTGGCTGCACGCTACGCTCGGGCAGATGCGGCCAAGCGTCTCCTTGATGCAGGCGCCGATGCCAACGCCCAGGATAATATGGGTAGATCACCTCTTCACGCAGCTGTGGCAGCCGATGCACAAGGGGTGTTCCAGGTATGTTGGTGCTTGGGGACAGGGTATGACAGACACTAAATAAACCAAATGCAGCAAGACTCCAGGTAAAACGCATTCCTCTGAATGGCCTTTGAGGTAAGGGCTCCTGAGCAGAGTTGAATAGCACTTTTATTTTCTTGCTTCCTTTCATTTCTTTTTCTTATTTTTTTCTTTTCTCTGGTGATTGGCATCTATGGTTCAGTGTAACTTTGGTGTTTATACCTGAAGAGTGGAAGGTGACACTATCCCAGTGTCTCTGCTCAGGTGATCCCCCTCCCTTGAACCTGACTTGCACAACAAAAGGGGAAGTTGCCACAGTCCCACAGGATCACTGGCTGCTCTCTCATTACAGAGAGAGAGAGAGAGACAACAAGTGTTTAGTTTAATCTGCAGGTCAGCACACTTCAGGGGAAGAGCAAGGATGGAATGCAGGATTCTTGTTATGATTCAGCCAATACAGAAATTGCATCCACATCGTGCTGCATCACAAACCAGTCAGCTCAGCTACCTACATGCGGAGCAATAAATTGGTGAAACAGAGAGATTCGTCTTGACCCAAATTGCAGGAGGGATCCCATCAGCCAGGAATATCAAGCACCTTGTTCATACTGTACGGACTGGGGCTGTCCTTCTCTTACCGGGCTCCTAACCCTGCAATGATGATATGTGTCATAGTGCCCTATCTTAACTTTCCCAATCTTTAATATAACGCAGGGAATTATGTTTATTCTCCTGCCAGCTACACCACCTGTAGAAGGAGAGCGGTTGCTGTGGGAGCTGAGAAAAGTATTGAGGAATGGGTATGCTGGCGTGCTTTTTAAAAAGGTGCCATAAACAGGTCTCTGCTCTTGTATAGATTCTGATCAGAAACCGGGCCACTGATTTGGATTGCCGAATGAATGATGGAACCACACCACTGATCCTGGCTGCCCGCCTTGCTGTAGAAGGGATGGTCGTTGAGCTGATTAACTGCCATGCAGATGTTAACGCTGTGGATGATCATGGTAAGAATGGAAACAGGATTTAGAATAGGCACAGGCTTTAAATAAAGAAATGAAAATATTCGAAGTCATACCTTTCACGTTCCCACAAACAACTGAGATAAATGTTCACTTTACACTTGGGAGGTGTTCCCGGCTCTTGTTGAAATAACAGCATGCAATCTTTTGCGCCTGTTATGATCTCGGACCTGACCGCCAACTTTGTATTGACCTGGTTAGGCAGTGGTAACTTTATATTTCTAAAGTTGGTGAAATGAAATCCAAGGGACTTATTGAGGAATAAAGTCAGATGATTCCAAGGCTTTGTACAGCAGTAATACTTTACAAGTACAGGTTAGGAATTAATGCTATCAGCAATTGAACTGGGAATTTCTGTCAGTCAGAATTGACATGTGATAAAGATGGATAAACTGTGATCAAACACCCCACAACATGCAAAAATAGCAAATGCAATCAAGACACAGAATTTCTCAGTACCTTGACCTGAGAGTTAGTTACTGCAGACGAGTGAGTAACTGGACTCAACATGGATATGTCTTAATCTAAGTTAATCTACTATTGGTCTCTTGCACTGCAGTCTACTCATGCTGTGAGTGTTGTGCATGTGTTTAACTTGGGTTAATTTTTCTAATGCTTTGCTTGTATTACATTGAGTTCCAACACTGCTCTGCCCTGTTCTCTTTAACATTTAGTGGTGATACTTTCCCTCAGGTAAATCAGCACTTCACTGGTCAGCAGCTGTTAACAATGTGGATGCAACCCAGGCCCTCCTGAAGAATGGAGCCAACAAAGACATGCAGGACAACAAGGTACTAAAGTGTTCTGAATTAAAGCCACCTCCAGTTATAGATAGCAGATTCTAAGGCATGAGAGTTGTAGTTTCTCACTCTACCAGTATCCCCTTAGTAGATCCCAATGACTCCCCTACTATCCACCTGACCATAACCTGGCCCCTGACCATAGCTGAGGCCTAACAGGTGTCTTGCCTAGTATTGATCTTTCCCAACCTTCCTGACACCCACACCAGGGGTGTCAATGATATTCTGAATCTGGGTCAGTACCAGCATTCCTTCTAATTTTCAAACCAGCTGGGCTTCCAAGGCCCATATCTGGCAGTGACTTCCACAGCTGGAAGTCAATGCTGCGATTGTGTGCCGACACTAATCGCCATGCATGGAACATTAGAGCTACTCTGCATACATACAGCCACCCACCTTAGAGGAAATATTGGTCAGAACAGGAGAGAAAAATAGTTGGGCAGGCATAGGAATTCGTAAAGGTCAACCTGGGAATATCAGTAGATGCTAATGTGGAAGCAGTAGTGGCTGACAGTTAGTGGCCCAACTTTTGCTCTCTTTCTCTGGGTTCCACCTATTGTTTACTCCTCCTTCCCACCCCCTACCCCATCTTCTGCATATATACTAATCTTTATCCTAGCTAAAATCAGTTCTGAAGAAGGGTCACTGGACCTAAAACATTAACTCTGCTGCTAGACCTGCTGAGCTTTTCCAGCAATTTATGTTTTTGTTTCAGATTTCCAGCATCTGCAGTTCTTTTTTTTTTGAAAGAATAAATGAATGTTTGATGACCGGCATGGACACGATGGTCCAATGGGCCTATTTCCATACTGTGACCTATGACGTTCTGCCACTCTTTGTCCCTATGCCTCTGTGATGTACAAGGAATGTCGCAATAATTAAATCTCGTTCAGTTCAGTTCAGTCATGGATACCTGTGGTTGCTCTAACAATTAATTCTCTTGGCCCACAGGAGGAGACACCCTTGTTCCTTGCTGCGAGGGAGGGCAGTTTTGAAGCTGCCAAAATCCTACTGGACCATTTCTCTAATCGTGACATTACTGACCACATGGACAGACTCCCTCGTGACATCGCGCAGGAGCGAATGCACCATGACATTGTGCAACTCCTGGATGAGTACAACCTTGTCCGGAGCCCACAGGGCCCTGCTGGACCCATGATGGGACCCACTGTGTCTCCAGTGACCTGCTCGACTGGTAGTTCTTTTATGAACCTCAAGATGAATCCCATGGGCAAGAAAGCAAGACGGCCAAGCACCAAGAGCCTCGCTGCAGGCAATGCTAAAGACTCTAAAGATGCCAAAACCAGGAGGCGGAAAAGATCCATCGGCAATGATAAAGGGGCCATTGTGGAAGGTTCACTGACTCTGTCCCCAGTTGAGTCGCTGGAATCCCCACATACCTACTTAGCCACCACATCTCCACCAGTACTCACATCATCAGGGGTTTTGCACCAATCTCCACCAGCATCTCTCCACCCATCCACTCCAGTGCAGAGCCAGCTGGCCATGTCGTTCTCCAACCTAACTGAAATGAAAGGTATGAACATGGACTCCAACACAGTGTTGAGTCAGGTCCTCCCCTCCATGTCTCATCCTTCCATGGCTGGGCAAAGCAGCAGCCTGGGGTTGCCCTTAGGAAGGGTTGAACATGTAAACATGCAATCAGAGTGGATGAACAGGGTGGGAATCACAACTTCCCAGTATAACCCCATGCTCGGCGTCATGCAACATGTCTCTGGCTCCTACCCAAATATGCAACAGCAGAACGCAGTGCTTCAGGCTAACCTGCCTCAAGTACACATGACCATGCTCAGGGAGCAGTTACCACAGATACTCACCTACCAGCCCATGAACAATGCTGCATCACAGTCGGTCATGCAGCAACAGCAGCAGCAAAGTGCTCAAGTAACACAGCAGCAGGGGCAACCTTACTGTGGATCAATGACGCCAGGGCCCGTTGGTAACATGCATCAGATGCCAGAGATCGTCCAGCTGCCAAATGGACAACTGAACAGCTCCATGCTGTCCGCTAGCCAAGAGGGTCAGGTACCACAGACCACCCTACCGCCCTACCACAAGCTACCAAGCTCAGTGCAGATTGATAAGTACCCTACGCCGCCGTCTCAGCACAGTTATGTTTCAGCAACAGACAATACCCCGAACCACAATGTTCACCTCCAGAGCGAGCACCCTTACCTAACACCTTCTCCCGAATCCCCTGATCAGTGGTCCAGCTCGTCACCGCATTCCACATCCGACTGGTCGGACATCACACCCAGCCCTGCTCCGATCGGACAGCGGCCACAGGTTTCACACATTCCAGAGCAGCAGAGGAACAACATGCAGGTGTTTGCCTGAGCATTGGTGATGGGAAACTCTTTGTGTGGCTGTGCGCAATGAAGGAAGAAGATTCCTTGTACTTCAGGTTTTGAAATTTCCCCTTCCTTTGGTTGGGTAAGAAGGAGGAATGGAACTGAGAATGAAGTACTGAACAAGTCTTAACGAAAATCAGCTCTCTCAGAATTTAGGGACTCAAAGACACGACTTCAGTGTGGTTTGAAGACGTTTTTATTTATTTTAATCACTGATGTCACTGCCTGTTTCTATGTTTGTGTGACACTTCTTTAAAACTTCTTTTTAGCTCTGAACTTAAGCAAGGTTTTTTTTTTAAACTTGCCATATTGCTATCAGTGTCACTCTGTGTTCTGTGCAGTTCCCTCATCAAACTGAGAACTGTTCCATTTGTAGATGCAAACAGATTTGAAGCTGAGGGATGGTTGTGAATTGTGACAGCAGCATTACACCAAGTCCTGCTGATGTGGCTCTTAAATAATCAAAATGTATCATGTAATATTGAAGGAAAATGCACCCTTGCCACTTGGAGGTGGGGGAGGTTGTGAGGACGAGATTGTGGGAGTCGAGGACAGACACTGAAGATCAGTGGGTCCATACTTCCAACTCGTCATCCATTGCCGATTGCTTTTACAAGCTGACCTCTTATTTCAAATTGCCTTTATAGTCTTCCATGGTACTAAGATTCCTAATGTAGTGCCTTCATGTAAGTTTGTACTGAATACCTGTCTTGTCAGAAGCACCATGGCAGAGGGATATGGCAGGTGAAATAGCTCAGAATTCTTCCATTTTTGTGCTGATTTTGCTTTTAAATGTCAGTTTTTAATCATTCCTGCATCGCTCGAGTCTCCTAAAGTATTAACATTTCTGGTGAACCACTTATTTGTATTCGTCAAAACATGCTTGTCTTTTTTTTTTCTTTATTTAAAGGATAAGTGAATTTGTAACTCGGTGTAATTGCTCGGTTAAAGTGTTCTTACCAATTAGTTCTTTTGCACCCATGAATCATTCATCGGCAGGCCTTCTGTATGCAGCAATTGATGAGCAGAACCTTGGCCATCAAGCCTCTATTGGATAAATCATTGGCAAGCTTACTTTAGCATGTGGAACGGAGGAGAAGGTTGTTCCATTTTTGAACATCACTGCTTTCAAACCCCATCATATTGTTTGGCACTTAGTGGGAGTTTCAGTGCAGCTGTGGAACACTCCGTCTCTCACGGGTCATGGGGCCCGATGGAGAATGGATAACTCAAGACGATTGTTTCATTTTGTGCGAACGTGATGCAGCTTGGCTGGCTGGGTTCTCGTTTTTCCATATTAGGTCTGAATATATTTGCCTCAAAATATTCCCGAGATTACAATTCGATTGAATTCACCGCATTGGAAGTTTGAAGTGAAGTGATAAATGAAGAAGTTTAGTCGTGAGATTCACTATGTTATGATGAGGGCAGACCTCACATGGTCTGCCCTCTGAACAGCAGTAATTACTGAATCCAAACCCGTTCAGAAACCATTTCCTTTGCTTGGCCACCCACCAACAGAGAGGATTTTGCCTCTGTCCTTAAATTGTGAGATTGGCTGGAGGATGGGTTCTGGGTATGGCATCCTCATCCAACTGCTGATGTCTGTTCGGAAAAGGGATGCAGTTGGTATTTGCCACAGGAAACGTTACATTTTCCATTTTGTCCAAAGATGCCAAACTTCTGGTCATAGCTGGGATTTGGGGAGGTTGGGGCTTGAGCACAGTTCCCAGCAGGCTAGAAACCTAAAAATGCTTTCTCTTCCACCACCTCTTCCCAGGGAGCCACTCTTGAGTGGGCTTGACTGAACTTGTGCATCCCCCATCACACATGACTCCTGTTTTACTTTTTAAGCTTGTTTCATGCCAATTTATAGATCGTAACTCATCTTTTTGGACCTTTCTCAAAGTTATACTTTATACTACCAATGAAGAAACACAGTGTTAAAATTATAAAATGGAATCCTGCATTGAGAATAAAACCCTGGGGTTGTAACATTTCACTGCACTTACGAAACACAGGAAAAATTATTCAGTCTGTAAAGTTTACAGATACTTAGATTGTTGTGCTAATGTTTGAGAGATTTGGTGTAGAAATTAGTTTTCTACGGTTGTTCTACCACCACAGGTGATATTTGGAGTTGGTGCTTTTATTTTTTAAGTTTAATGTTTAAAATTTCTTTCATCTTCTTTGCCCAGTTGTTGCATACTATTGTGAATTTCTGAGAGAGATGTAGTTGTGGTTTTGAACTTTCTGTGAAATGTTTGTGGAAGAAAACAGTTGAAGGACCAAACATGTAAAAGGTACTTTGAAAGGAAACAGGGGATTTCAGGCAAGTCTGTTTTAGCCGCATGTAATGTTGAGTTACTTGTGAAATTACAGTTGGGTCAAAGGGCATAGCCCAGTCAGTAACCGAATGTTAGAGGTAAGCCTTCACCCGGGGGACTCCTCTACCAAATCAGCCTACTCAAAACCAAGCAATGAAGGAACTTGTTTGAGTACTATGATCTAAAGAAAGTTAATTTTCCAATTCTATTCAATACAATATTCCATTCAATAACATGTTCCATATTTGTAAAATAACATCCATAAATGTTATGATATACAAGGCACCCATTAAATTCCTGTTTTATCAATCTATTTTAATAGATGTGTGCAGGAATAAGAATATGAGTGGAATTGTAGCACTGTTGACATTTCCATTTTTAAGCTTTTTTTGGGCTGATTAGGAGTTCTCTTAAATGTTAAGTTCGCTTTCTTTCTCCATCCTACCCTTGACCCCAAAGTGCAATCATTATGAATACCAGTGCATTGACTATTTTGATGCAACTCAGCTAAAATTCATCAAGTTTCTGTGAGTCAAATGACTGTTGAATCATCTCCATTCCTGTTCGTGAAACTAAATTGGCCACCCTACATGGCCTGCAAGGAGAGCTGGTGTTGCGAGTTTTACAGTCGTGACATTGGTTAAATCCTGGTTACTCCTAAGGTTGGGGTTTATGGATAATGTTAGGGGAGGGCCACGTTAGTCTATTACAAGTTGGATTTTTTCTTGGCCTGATGAAATTTTCCTTAAACAATCTGTACCATCTGAAATCTGCAACTTCTCTCACTTACCATCCATTGAAAACAAAACAAAGTCCAGATATGATAATTACGTTTTTGATAGCAACTATTTTAAAAAATACAATTCATGCTAGATTCCCGGTCTTCAATCTATGGAATTGTGAAAAATATTGCACAAACCTGACTTGCACTTGATTTTAATGTTACAGTACAGCCCAAGTTAATTTAGATAAATACCTCTGTAAAGTCCGTTTAATAATCAGTTTTGCTGTTCATCCCTCTGACAGTATTCTAGGACAAATTTTTAACCCTCAGTAATATGTTGCACTTTAAACCCATGAGCTGAACACTCTGATCTCTTTCCTCTGAACTACCTGTAGAAATCCAATGAGAAACAAAAATCAATCCAATGTTTTTAAACCCTCCATTACTTAAAAATGGCAGCATCAATTGGATGTGTCAGTACAGTTTTGACTTCTCAATAATGCATTCTCTCTCATATTCCTTCAATATTAGACCAAAAAAACCATGAAGCCTCCACGTGAATGTAAATACAAAGTGCATGCAAAAGAACCAGTGTTTCTCCTGATCAATTCCTTCATCTTTGTCTGGTTTAAAACGTCCACAGTCACAGGCGACACTTTATGTTTAATGTACCTTGTGATGTATCTGTTCGCCCTCATGCCTAAGTGTTCCAACCTCCAGCACTAATATCCACCCCAACTTGATGAGTGCAAAATACAACTCAAAAAAATAACACTTGAGTTTACTTCTAATTTACTCTTAGCTTCTTCCCACAACAAGCTGTAAATGGAGATGTCTGGGTGATGAAGGAGGGATATACTTCATACAGACAATCACGTAACAATAACTTGTGCGTGTAACGCACGCTCAACTACAGAGAAACTACAGAATCAATGGGTTCATGTCTTGTGGAGCCAATTAATTGATGTAAATAAGCTAACTTTGTATGAGAAATTGTATCTTTGACAAACTTGTACTTTCTCACTGTCTTTTAAATGTATATGTACTAAAAAATGCTTATTCATATTAGGTGGAGCTATTGAACTAGTGAATGGAATACTATTTTTTAATTTTTACACTTAAGAACTTTTCATAAGAAGAGTTGTTTCAAATGAATTTCTACAGAAAAGTATTTTTGAAGATTGTGATTTATACATGAAGTATGAAATGTAACATAAGATGTTTAAAATAGATATTTGTTGTCTTTTTGTCTTTATGGGTGGAAAATTAAGCAGTCGAATTTGTTCAATACATTCACATAAAAAAGTATGCCAACTACTAATATGGATGAGGAAGTAAGGGGGACAGATCATTGGTTCACTGCCCCTTTAAGAAATTATTGCAGAAGATGAACTGTATTGATCAAAGAGCTTCCTGGAGCCTTTTGTTGGTCTCTGAATGGCATTCAAAGGATTAAGCAGAGGTCAGTCAGTCCCCAAACCTGCTCCCTCATTTTGTTAGATCAAGAGATATCTTTTTAATGTGTGCTCAAAACTGAATGCAGTGCCCAAAACAGAATCTGACTACTCTCTGTTGAATTCCTTGTGATAAAGACCAATGTCCTGTTGGTCTTCTTGATTTACTTTTTGTATCTGTCTATTTTAATGGTTTATGTACTTGGAGTCTCGATACCTGTGCTGTACCACACTCCATACATTTTAGCCATTAAGACAGATATACTGGGACTATTTTCCAGAGTCCAAGTGGTTACCTCACAATTTACAACATTGTTGTTCAGTCCACTCTATTGGCTTATGTCCTTCTCTTATGTGCTACTTAAACCCTCTCCTAATTTGGATATATAACTCTATTTCTTAATCTAAATCATTGTGAAATATATTAAAAAGCTGAGGGCCCAGAGTAAATCGTTGGGAAATGCCATTTGCCACAACCTGCCAACTATGTTTACCATTTATCCCATGTTGTTCCCAACCAATTACCAACCCAAGTTAAAAAGTTATGCCCAATTCCATGGACTTTAATTTAGATAATGGTCTCTTGTGAAAAAACTACAAATTTATTTATGATTGTTCATATAGATATCAGTCATATTCTTATGACCATGTCAACTCTCTGAGCAGCTTGGTTCAAATTTTCAGTCATTCTACCACCGATGACTAACAACAGGTTCTAATAGTTTCTGGATAGCTGATGTTAAACTGACAAGTCTTTAGTATCTTCTCTTTTTATTTAACACATCAGCAAATACGAGCATCTGTGTCAGATTGATGATCCTTTGATCAAGACTGTCAGGTTTTGGGGACATAATAGGTTTTGAGCAAGTGAAAGGGCAGGGGAAGGTAGTAACATGATCAGAAGGAAAGGTCTGTTGTGCGGTGAAAGCCGGGAAAGATAAAAGGATGGTGCAGGGCAATAGAAAGGGGTAATGAGACCATTAAGGAAACAAAAAAAAAGTGTCCAGGAGAAGGTATAAATGGCAGAATCATGAAGCCGCTGTCTTAAAAGAAGACAAACTTGAGTGAAAACAAAACCATTGAAGAAAACGGAGACAGAATTGGGGCAAAGGTGATGATCTGACATTGTTGAATTAAATGTTGAATGCCTGACCAAAGGATGAGGTGCAGTTCCTCAGCTTGCACTAAGCCGCATGGATACGAAGGCCGCTTGAGATCAGAATGGGAGCAAGGTGGAGAATTAAAATGGACATGCCCTCAGTTAGCCCCTTTCTTTTCCTTCCCTTCCAAAACAATAAGGAAACCTAAGCAAATATCTGCTCTAATTGCATAATTCCTGAATCTTTGTCAACACAAAACAAATCCATAATAACACAATACTCTCCATTGTTTTGTTCTATTGATTTGTAAAATAATATTGAGCATGTTTTTATTTCCAACAAAAACATTAGCTAGAAGTGCTAACTTTTCTATGGTTTTCTCCAGTGTAATTTGTTTTTGTTTCAGAGATAGTAGGAACTGCAGATGCTGGAGCATCTGAGATATCAAGGTGTAGAGCTGGATGAACACAGCAGGCCAAGCAGCATCAGAGGAGCAGGAAGGCTGACGTTTCGGGCCTAGACCCTTCTTCAGAGGGTC